CCAATAGGTTTACCCAAATTACTATCATTCCCGGTGAGCAATCGTCTTTTCGACCACGTTGTCTAGGAATCTTTTTCACGTGACACAACTAATAATAATATTTTCATTTTCCTCATAAGTTTCAAGCAAAGCAATAATTACAATTAAAAAAATATTCTTTACCAGAAAAGTGTTGCTTTCTCTCGCAAACCCTCGAAAATATCTTGGTTCCAAGCTCCACTGTGTACCAAAATATCTCCTCCATTGGAGAATTTTTTTATTCGGGCGGAGTGACGAACAACATGACGCAATACTAAGCGATCAATACGAGGCCAGGCAGGTCGGTCAAACAACTTTTGTTTCTGGAACTTTTTTTTTTAATTTTATTTTTTATGCTTTTGTTTAGAACTTTCGTCAGCTACACGATATAGCCTTGAATTAATTTGAAATTAGGATACGTGGCTCGCTTTTGTACACCCTAACTCACAGATTATTATACCTAACTCACTATTTGTTGTAGGTATTTTCACGGTAGCCACTCCTGAATCGACACGCGTCCCTCATTTTTTGCGCATTACTTATTATTATTAATTTTTTTTTTGTTTTCTGGTAAGCTCTTAAGTCACTCGTTTTTCGAGACGAGTAACGAGTTACCAACAAAAAAACCAAGAGAGAGAGAGAGAGAGAGAGAGAGAGAGAGAGAGAGATAGCCGTGGCTTTGTCATCTTCCGCGATCTTTCTCGGACTTGAGTTGTTTTTTTCTAGGGAGGGAATTGTTTCATTCAATCAATTCGCTTTCTGCGGTTAAGATTCTCTGCTTATTTAATTTATTTTTACTGTTTAATTGTTTTTTAACTGGAGTTTATTTAACTAATGTATAGGTTAACCAATAATATGTCACGGGTAAAACTATAAAAGTTAGGCTCCGTTTATTTCGCTAATTTGAGTTTAAAATTTGAGTTTTGTTACAATAAAAAGTTCTCACAAATAATCACATTTAATTTTTTTACTACAGTAAAAAACTCTCACATAAAATCACATCTCAACTCAAATCAGCGAACTAAACGGGTCCTTAGTCTTTTTGCTGCAAATATATAAGCTTAGTAGCACATATAGCTAGGTGATATGTGAATGAAATATGGTAATATACATTTACTTCTTTTAGGCTGAGATATATATATATATATATATATATTTGTTGTACTACTTTTATGGTGAGATAAATATATGCTTTGAACAATTGGTCAAGTATCTTACTCTAATTCGGCCTTCAGGTAACTCTAACTATACACTTGCAAATTGTGAGCATCTTTTTCTATCAACTGTTTATTATTTGTGACTTGAGTATCAGAGAGTCTTTGGCTGGCACCACCTCGATGCCCTCATAATCTTTAATCTCCTTATTTTTGTTTGTGATTCTATTGTTGCTGAGCTCATACATGAGTTAAAACCGTTGATCAAGTTTCCATGGTCAACAATGTGTATTAGCCTTTCCCTAATGAAACACAAGACTATTTTCTCAACACTGTTGTTATTTTTTTTTATTGGATTAATGTGATGACTTTTTGTTGGATTGTTCATGATCTGATTTAAGTAACCGGAAATAAATAAAATTTATTCATTGAAATTAAAGTTTAACTATAACTTCAGCAAAACAAGTGACAAATGTGCATCATTTTACTATAATGAGGTTGTTATGTAGCATTCTTCCTGTTTAAATTTGTGTGCACTGTTCACATATAGTGCTGTTGCCTTTTGGACTACATAAATTTGTTGGAATGATAAAATATGAGCTGTGAGCCCATAACCATCATTAGAGGATAGTCATTTTTCTTTATCCGTACTTTTAATGTTGTTGATCCCCTAAATAAAGAGATGTACATCAAGCTTTTTATTTTACTCCAAATTGAATTAACTTAATATTGTTTTTAGGGAAAAAAACTTTTTAAAACGATTGATTCTATTGGCACGCAGTACAACAAATTGTCATTTATTAGTACTTTAAAAACACCACTAGTTCATGTAGCGTCCGTTTAGTTCATATATTTAAATCAATAATTCTTAATTTTAACATTTAAATTTTAAATTTTGTATGAGAGAAAAAAATTATAACAGAATTAAAAATTATAAATTTAAACGCAATAAGTAAACGAGCCCTAAACACGCCATTAGTTACGAATTCATTGCATCTAGGACACATAGGAACAGTAAAACTTTCACGAGTGTATATTTATATGTACAAAACGAAAATTCAAAAACGTCTTGAAAACAGCATATATTTATCAAGAGCTAGCAAATCCAAAAGACATTGCATTACCCTCCAAAAATGTAACTTTTTCCGTGTGATATGAAAATAAGTGTACATAAAATAGTTTTGTTTCTGGTTTCCTCTCCATCGCCACACAGGGACGAAGAACACTACCACCAAGAACAAGATCATGAGAAAAGGGCAACGTGTTCATTTGTTTTATACCACACCAGTTGTACTCGAACCGGACGGTCAGGCCGGGAAGGCTATCCGGTTCTCACGTACATCGCTGCTATAAAGAAAGAAAGCGTTAAGCGTGTGGTGTTTCCAAAAGCGTACCGGCAAACGGCAACGAGGCTTTGGAGATTTTCTCATGTTTTGAAGGCCCTTTTGTTTGAAGCGTTCATGGTAAGTAATTGGTTTTCGAGTGTGTTTGAGTTTCTTATTACTATCATTTTGTTTGGAAAAAATACTGGTAATCTCTAACACCTTATCTCTGGAAAAGCACAACCTCCATGGCGGTGAGTACTAAAACATATTTATGATGATGATGAGAGAATAATATTTTGCTTAAATATTTATAAAAGTAAATTAATTAAATAATATATTTTAAAACTATCTGCAGTAAATGGTAATATAATTTACAATTAGTAAAATAATTTTTTTTAATGTAAATTTTCTTTTTATAATTGCTAAAATGATTTTTTTTATGTAAATAAAGATTTATTATCAGTTGTAAATAAAATATTTACACAGTACTGTTTACTTTAAATAGTTTTAAAAATTACTATTTAATTAATTTAATTTTGAAAATATGTTATTTACTATAATTTCCGTATGATTATAGGAATTTCAATTTTTTGTCTTCTTAATCTATTTTTATTTGTTTGTCCACTAAATTTGTTTTTGATTAAATATTCATATCAGTCGAATAATGAAGGATTTGTAATGGTTTAAGTGTTTTTAAGGATCACAAACAAGTTTTATATACCATTTATTGTGCATATTTGAAACATAATTTAAATTTTTGTTATAGTATTTTCTCAAATGAAAATTTGACTTTATATTGAATTTGTTCAAACTTAAACACGAAACGAATGCTTAAGTTGAAGTTACTACCCTCTAGCCTCTAGGCTACAAGTCTTCAACAAGCTACAAATATTGTTTTACCACTTCAGTTTTCAGAGATTGATGCCTCATAAATTATATAGGATTTAATAGCGCGCTTATTTCCGAGTTTCAAATTATAATTTAAATGTTTTTGCTATATTTTTTTCTCACATGTTTGAACTTAGAAACCAAATAAGCCATCATTCCAACTTTCATAAATATACTTTTAGGAATTGCTATTTTACTTATGATTTCTTTATTTTTTTTAGTTTTGGCTGTTAAGTAAATTATGTTTTTCATTTAGTCCATCGACTTGCCATTTTTAATAAGCATGACCTTAGGCTAAAAGAAGATATGGCGCGACAAAAAAACTATACCACCATCAATGGTATCTGATGCACTTGAGGACTCTTTTCATACAAATTTTTCAAAAATGATAAAAAGAAAAAAGAGAAAACGTCTACATAAAATAACACATATGGTAAGAATTGCTATTTTACTTAATTAGAAGAAATTACAGCTTTAATAGTCAGATTAACTTTTTAACAGATATATTTATGAGTATACACATTATAACAACACTGCAAGAAAAGTTTTCATAAAAAAAAAAAAAGAAAAAATCACAAGGGATCGAAGGCTCAAGAAGCCGATTTCAACTTTCAAAAAATCCTTTCTTTACCCCCAAAAAAAAAAAAAGAGGAAAAATGGGGGAGAAGAAACAAGAAGCAGCCTGCTTGGAATGGTGAAGCACTGAAGCGCTTCAACAAGCTGTCGCCAATCAGAGAAAGTGATATTTGGAGAATCCGAAACCCCAGAAATATTAAAATAGAAATCGAAACACAAGAAGATAAAAAAAATAACTAAAGAAAAGTTAAATTATTAAAAACTAAAAAAGAGTGAAAAAAGCAGTTAGAATTGCTTATGTGGCAGATCAAGTGGGGGCAACTTTCTCCATTCTTCCCGCAGTGGGACTCCCTCAACTCTTCGGTCCCTCTCACGCATCATTGCTGCTATTATTTAAATAATTTCTCTGTCGCAGATATTTTTCGAGCCATTTCTCTCTATCTCTCTCCTCTCTCTCTCTCTTCTTCCTCATTTATCGGCTTGTCGTCGTTCGGTACATACTCGCCCTTCGTTGCCTTCTCCGACGAAGCTGCAGATCTCCTCTTCTCTCCCGAGCTTCGTTGATTTCTTCTCTCCAATCTGATTCATCTGCGGATTTATTCGATGATGCGATTTTCTCCGCCGAATGTTCTTTTCAAGCCTTATTGATCTGGTATTCGCTGGCTTGCTTGGCATTTTAATCGCGTAAGCTCTTGATTTGTTGTCCTCCACTCTGTTTGGTTGCCGAGAAAGCTGTGAGAAAAAAAAGGTAGCTTGAGATGGAGCAGGGAATTTTATACGTATGGACACGTATAACTAGACCTAAATTTCATGTAACTGCTAGTTCACCTAAATTTCATGTAATTGCTAGTTTTTCCTTGAATTTTCATTCCGTACGTTGATTTTCATGCTTCTAGAATGTAGCACCTAATTGCCTTTTCATTTTGTTTGCAATTTCTATTCAGTGACGGTTTTTCATTATTTCTTTTCAATTTTATTTTTGTTTCTTTTATTTTATTTTTGGTTATAAGTGATTTTCAATTTATTTGCTTGCAGTGATATTGTTTCTTTCGGTTTGAAGCATTCATTATCTGAAGAAGTGGATTTTTGAAGATTGGAAGATTCGCGTACGGCTTTTATCAGGTGAGGATTGTAAATCTTTTTCCTTTTGGCTGGAGATATTTTTCGTATTCTTTTTCTTCTTTGCTTGTTTGTTTTTTTTTTCCCTATTGTTTTGATGGTATTGTATGGTGGTTTCACCATCATTTGCTTTTAGTCACTACTTTGCTGGCTTTCTTTGAATTTATACTTTTACCTCGTTGATGCACCTTCTTTTTTATTGTCGTTAGGTGAGGTTATTTATTATAAGCCGATACACTTTTGATTGGAGTTTTTTCACTGTTAATAGATTGATATTCTGATCTTTTTGTGCATAATAATCTCTACTTTATTTTTTTTGTACATAATAATCCCCGTATGTTTTCCTGTTAGCTTATCGAGAAAATTACATAAAATGTCCAGAGAAATTCTTTTTTCGTGAATTAAAACTTTGAATGAGGACGTATGGAGTTAAAGATGGGGAGACATATCCTACGATCTTAATAATTTAAAGTGTTTTCCACAATCTTTAACTCATTTGAATAACTGGTAATAGAATATTCTTCAGTGCATAGCACCTTAATTTTTCATTATTACATATGTAGATGGAAAAGATTTCTAGCTTCAGTTTTCTTCTGCTTTCATGACATTATCTTACCATTTGTGTGCATTTTTGAGCACCTTCTACAAGTTTCATGGTGTATGTACATTCTTATTATGGATCTATTACTTATATATAGTTGTATTGTAGACATTATGCATAACAATCAGGGGTATATGTCTATGTATGTTAGGTTATTTTAGAGTTGCAGTCCACACTTTTGAAGGTTTTTTTTGCTCTGATAGATGGGTTTAAAGTTATAGCAGCTTCTATAATTTTCCCTCTTTAAATATTATTCTTTTAATAAGATGGACATAGGAAGTGTTGGAGCAAAATTTTGTCTAAACTAAGAGCAACTCCAATCATACTAGTCATTTCAGGTTTTTAGTTAAAATGGCTAATGATTTAACTTTTTTTTATCTTTTCTCCACTCCAACAATTAATTAAATGGTTAGCTATTTTAGAGAATGCCTTCCACACTAACTAAATATAATTAACATGGAAAAGTTAGCCATTTTATTTTTTGTATTATTTTATTTTTTTAACTGTAATATATGCAAAGATTCTTTTGTAAATTCAATAAAATTATTTATATTCTGAATTTAATAAATATTAAAATAATTCATATTTAACTAAAATAGAGAGTATGGTTGGAGTGACTCACCAAGAAGTTACTAGTTAAAATAGCTTTTTAGCAATTTTAATTAGAATTTAGTTAAAATTTAGACAATTCCTTAGAGATGCTCTAAATCAACATCCTCGAAGAAAAGATTTAGATCAAACAAGTAAAAAAAAAAAAAAAAAAATAGAACTCTTTTGTTGTTACTATAATTAGCACAGTTGCTGTTGCATAAGTTATTGGAGAAGGAGCTGTTAAAGTACCTGAATTTTTCAGTTGAGTGACGTGTGAGAGGGTGGGTTTCTCTGCATATGTATGTATCAATGTTTTAAGGTGTGAAGAGTGCAGTTTTAAGATATTACACTCACCTTCGCTTGATTAGTGCAGAAAAAATAACTAATTAAGAATACACCTCGTTTCCTTGGGGCTTAATTTTTCTTTCGAAACAAGTAATTTCATGTTGAGTCCATTTAGCTTCCATATTTTTCCCCTATTTTGAATGGTATTTGTAATAATAAGAATTAAGAACGGCATGAGGAAAAAAACTTCTAATGTTACCACAACCATGATTGCGTAAGTATGGAAAGCACTGTAGAGTCTTAACACTATATTTTGATATACACGAATAATTCTACATTTGTGCATAAACAAAAAAATTTTATAACGTGGAGCTTTACCGGAAGCATATGTTGTGGATTTTTTTAATATATATATTTTATTTTAAATATGTATTTTTATCTTTTTTTAATCTTTTTTAATTAATTAATTAATTTTTTTTGATAAAAAACTATATTTAATATACGCCAAAAAAGGAACAAAATGTGAGGAAATAATATAAGAGTAGAGAAGAATTTAGAAGGGATCGTACTTTGTCTTTTGTTCTTACTCGGAAAAGAGAGGAAATGAAAGAAAAGTTTTCTCCAATATTTTATCATTCTGCCTTCAACTTTATTTTAAATATTAAGTGTGTGTGTGTGTTTTAGTACACATTTGATAAAAACAACTACACATACACGTGCATATATGCATAACATCTTTTGTTTTGTTTTCCTTTTTTTTTTTTGTTTCTTTCCAAAACACTATATCTTTAGTTGAAATACTATTGAGTCATACGTGAAGTAGCACTTTGTTTATAATTTTTTGTTCACCATCTTGATGTATTAGAGTTTTTTAGTTTTATTTTTATTTATTTTATTTTTTTAGAAATCTTGATGCATTAGAGTTGCCACATCAAGGTTGTAAACAAAATGTGGTAAGCAAGGAGGTGGTAGTTAAATATTACTCAATTGCAATTGCACCCTTTTAATATATATAAATTTTTATTCAAACACCATCTTGATATAGGAACCTTTTGTTTTCATACCTTTGAATTTTGATTTTGTTTTAGCTACATCTTGCGGAATTAGAGGTTTTAATTTTTTTTTCTCCCTCTCTCTAAAGAAGACCATGCCATTGCGCTTAACTTATTGCAGAACTAAATTTAAAACAACCTTAGATAATTTAGCCCCTTCACTACAAGCACCAGCACCAAAGCATGAAAGTGAGGAGGTTTTGAAACTATGTTGTGGAGGATAAAATAATTTGAGTTCGTTTGTGAATCATGTTTTGTAATAACTAGCAAAATTTGTCTCTTTTGCTTTTGTTTTTATTTGTATTTGATTGCCTTGAGGTATGTACTATAACCTGTTGAACAAATTCAAATTTGAAAGTGTGTAATTTAGCAAAATGATATTTTCGCAGAGTTAAACTAGACGGCTACTTAATAATTTCTCATTTGCATGTAGTTTATAGGTACTTTTTAGTGGAAATGATGAGATATTCTTTAAGCTTTTAACTTTTAAGAATGAATTTGTCACCAAGAGACAATAGATCGTAGAGAAACATAACCACTAGAGATAAAAGAGACAGAAATTGCAAAAATGAGAATTTTAGACAGAACAGGAACTCTAAAATCAGAAATTTCAAGATTCATTCATCAACTATAACTCCAATGAAAATACAATCCATAAACCTATTTGTAGAGGAGGAAGATACGATAATTTAACCTGATTTCATAATATTAATAGATAAAAACAATCCATATTCAAACTTGAATACTAAAAATAAAACACACCCTAATAGGTAAATATACAGTACAAAATCCTAATATCTATATCTTATTCCACATCATTCTCTTTAGGTTAAAAAACTCGACTTCAACGAGTTTAAACTAAAAAAAAATCATGAAAGTACAGTCTACAATGATATACCCTTTCAATTAACCTTAGGATCATGGGGTAAAACATCTATTGAAAGTTAAGCTTGATTTAGGGGCTTAATGTTTGTTGGGTTTTATAGTTAATTAGTTATTGGGCTTAGAGTTTAGTTGTTTAAATGACAGCCAAAATATTTAAGTTCTAGAAACTTATTGTGGAGAAGTTACAAAATAATCTAAATATTTGTAGTAGCTTCATATTGTTGACTTTTGTAAGAGAAGATGGAAGAGAATTTTAAAGAGTCATTTGTACCCATTAGATTAGAATGGAAATAAATTGGTGCTTTCCATTCTTTAATCGGAGATGAGTCCAAGGTAGCGGTAAAAGGCAAAGGTAACATTCTTATCCGATTGAAGAATGGAAAGCACCAACTTATTTCTAACGTCTATTACGTGTCGAATATGAAGAGCAATATCTTGAGTTTGGGGTAACTCTTAGAGAAAGGTTATGATGTTCACTCAAAAGAAAATAATCTTATGAGCTGAAATGGTATTCTCAGTTTTTCATTCAATACATAAACATGTGCAAACAGTGGTTTATAGTCTATATACAAGGAAAAACATCCTAGAAATCTGTCAATAATAAAGTCCTAGAATCACTCTAAATCAAACCCAGGTCAACTATACAATAATTATACAAATCGGGATTACAATCAAGGATCCTAATCATAATCAATCAATCATAAACAAATCCGGAATCATAATCCTAGTCAATCAACCATAAATATTCGGGATTTCAACACTCCCCCTCAAGTTGGATCATAAATGTGAATCATTTCCAACTTGCAAACGAAATCCTCGAAGTCTCGCCGGGATAGTCCTTTGGTGAAGATGTCTGCAGTCTGCTCTGCAGTGGGAACGTATGTTAAACATATAGTTCCATTCTCAACCTTCTCGATAAAGTGTCTATCTACTTCCACATGTTTAGTTCGATCATGTTGGTTTGGGTTGAGAGATATGTTGATAGCTGCTTTGTTATCACAATAAAGTTTTATTGGTAACTTCATTGAGATTTTCAATTTTTCCAGAAGCTTCTTCACCCACAATCCTTCACACATTCCTTGTGCAACAGCTCTGAACTAAGCTTCTGCACTACTTCTTACTACAACATTATGTTGTTTACTTCTCCAGGTAACCAAATTTCCCCAAACATAAGTACAATACCCAGTAGTTGATCTCCTATCTTTGATTGATCCGGCCCAGTTAGCATCTGTAAAGACCTCCACATCTCTTCCTTCATTCTTCTTAAAGAGCAACCCTCTACCTAGGGATCCCTTGAGATACCTAAGGATCTTGTAAACAGCTTCTAGGTGCACCTCTTTCGGTGAGTGCATGTGTTGGCTAACAGCACTGACTGCGAAGGCAATGTTAGGTTTCGTGTGGGATAAATAGATTAGCTTGCCAACTAACCTTTGATATCCTTCCCTCTCAACTGAGTCACCTTCATCAATCGCCCTTTTTCCAGCTTCGATAGGTGTATCACTTAGTTTACACCCAAGCATCCCAGTTTCAATCAAAAGATCCAGAACATACTTCCTTTGAGAAACGCTAATGCCCCTTTTAGATATGGC